AACTGTCAGGCATCGACAGCAGAGTACTGGCCAGCTCGTGCCACCATTCTACGCCGCCGAACTTCCCCGTCGGCTTCCGCCGGCGTCAATGCGATGTTGGTTTACTCACCAATGGTGGAACTCCCCACCTGTTGCCTGCATCACTCCAGGGCCACGCAGACGCCACAATCGGCAGGTCCTCGCTTCGGGTGTGCCGGGTAAAACGGCACGAGAAACGACCAGGTGCGATGGAATGATTTCAGCCATTACAATCCATCAGGCCGACAGGGTGTGCCTACGGAGCTGGCACGCAGGGCCTTACAGGCGGCCACTGCACACAGCCACGGCCACGCCACAGGCCTTCTGTGCATCAGCTGACGGCGCGCTGAACATGGCGGGATGTTTTCGTCGCGGACATCCTCTAGACCAGCCCAGTGTGTTCACTTTCAGTTGTCTGGCGGGTGGCACACTTCACTTGTGACGCAAATGGTGTGCTCGTGTCTCAGCCGCTGTGCTGATGTGCATCGGCTGTTCAGTCGATGTTTTCGTGTGCGACAACTCACACCTCAAATTAGGGAGCATCATATTTATGACGCATTTAGCGGTTGAAGCCACTGGAGTTGACTACTGCATTAGGAGCGTTTTCCCAGGCGTTTAAATGATGCGGTCATTAGTAGGAGATATGTAAAGCCATTTCCAGTCGGGTCCAACCACGCTGTGTGAGGGAGGTCGATCGGGTTTATGCGCAATTTGTTACAGACCTTCTTCACGTTTCTCGCTAGGATTGTCAAATCTAGCTCACTAACAAATCCAAAATTCACGAGAACTAGGATAGAAAAGCTTGCCTTTATCGTAATCATTAGGCTTTCCAACGTAAGTGGCAAACGTTAATCAGAAAGCGCCTTTGTTTCGTCATCATGTACCTATTCGCTATACCACGTTTGGACTATTTTGTTATTTGTTCCCATGAGACCAAATTTGCAAATGTAAAGTCACATATCGAGATATCATGACGAAAGAAAAAAAGCTTTCGTAGCCAACTTCACTGGCTTTTGGATATAACCGACGAAAACTGATAAGTTCCACTCTTGTTTATCATACCTTCCATGCATTTCATATCTGGCACCAAGTCAAGCTCCTGTGCGATAACGGTAGCGTGGAAATGCCTATAGCGTATCACATGATTGAACTTCAGTTGCGGTAAAAGTGTTGGGGTTTGTGCAACCATCTGGTCCTGTATCACTTACAGATATAGCCATTTACAAAGCTTGACCACAAAATTGTAGAATAAGTTGCGGCAAAGGCTTAGTTGCAACCACCTGGGTGTCCCATTTCAGGTTTTGGCCGATATGGCCACTGCCATAGCTGTGATAGTGAAGAAGCATGTTTTGTGTTTGAATAAGTTCCTAACATGAGCAAATTTGTGATTTTTGATGATAAAGATTCCAAGCTGCTACCACTGAGTAGCTCGTTGAGATGTTTCTGTGTCTGTTTACCGTAGCATTAGGCAGATCGAATTAATGTCAAACATGCCATGCAACTATTCTTATTTAAAATGACATGGAAGGGATGGGATGAGTTGCTACGCAATGACAGGGGTGTAAAGAAGGTGATTAATAAGAGTTGGCTGTTGTCTTCAAAGCATCATATATGCGCAAAGGAATTTTCCGGGAAATACGGCTTACGCTAATAAAAGCACACGCTCTGCTGGTGTGGAAAAGTATATATAGCTTATGTTATGCGCAAAGCTTACGTGAACATTTTATTTTCTTTGCTCTTAATGAAAACGGCGAGGTGATGAATAACGCTATGGAAGCACAAGCAGTATGGTACAGTTCGAGGACTAACTTTTTAGATAATCAGGATTGGCTATAAACAACATATATTGTGGGTTAAGCACTTAGCTAAAAATCTTCGCAAAGCCCTCTGATATCGGGTATGCAGTCATATTAAACCACGGCTGCATTTGCTTCCATGTTTTGAACAACCCTGATTCATGCGTGGCAACAGATCCTGTGTTTCGTAGACCACATGTGAAGCAAATGCAGACAAAAAAGAACTGTGTGCTGCTGAGATGACTGCAGCTGATAAATCAGAAGTTACAAAAATTCAAACAGCCGCATCAACGCCTCTCATCAATGGTGTAGAAAGCGAGTCGCATGGGCCGCATTTTTTTCAAAAAAACAATCCTTTTTATCGTATGGTGAAGAACGTTATTGCGCATTATGTCCTTAATTCTGTGAGTTACTTAAAAAGTCATGCGTCATCTGGCAAAAACCTGACATCGTTTTGCGTCCCTCTGTTTTTAGCTCCATGTGCGATAAGATAAAGCATTCGTATTCCTGGTATAAAGTCAGGAAATTTGTAAATTTGTTTAGGAAATATCGAAATTTCTGTGCAATCTTCAGAATTGGGATCACCGAATATGGCAGAGGAGTTGGGCTATTTGGGTCTATGCAATCTGGCTCAATAGAGCAGCAGCCGGTCACCAAAATGTAGAGATGGACGAGTCGTGGATTTTGAAATAAGTGTAAATATTCGGCCTCATACATGTTTCAACATCAGTGTAATAAGCCGCCCACAGCGTGCCAAACAAGACATCAGTACTAATCAGCATCACCCAGCGGGGCTAAGAGAGAATTATTTACTGCGGACGACGGCGAACGGATTTTCTCAAAAGCACGGTAAGGAACTTGTGGCGGCTGTGCTCTATCTGAATGCAGTAAATTGCAGCTTACTTGATGCACCGCGCATTGCGCGGATCTGAGAAGGGCTCGGCGCGGCCTTAACCTGTTCAGTCAGTGTATGCAATTTTAATCTGGAAGCAGGAACAGTGGCGCAACGCGAACTCTGTTGATGCCCGAGCCACGAGGCTCGCGGCCTCGTGGAGAGTGATAGACGTCTGATATTGTGGCACAGGACACGAGCCCTGGGCGGACACGACGCTTTTCACGCCCGTCAATGGATTCCCTCCTGGCGCCTGGTGTGTCAATGGGTACGAGCTCCAGGATTGGTGGGTTGTATTGCCCAACTGCCGAAGAAAAGCCAGCCGGCAGCTGTCCAAACGAGGCCAACCTGAGTCGTTCGACCGTGGTGGGATTTTCACTGACTGACGGAGAAAAGTCTGCTAGCAGCTAACCGAACAGGGTCAACCGCACTGTGCAGCCGTGTCGGGGTACGTCCCATCCGGCATGTGACAGGGTCAACCTGCACTGCTCAGCCGTGTCGGAGTACGTACCGTCTGGCACGTGACAGGGTCAACCTGCACTGCTCAGCCGTGACGGAGTACGTCCCGTCCAGCACGTGACAGGGTCAGCCTCATCTGCGCAGCCGTGTCGGAGTACGTCCCGTCCGGCACGTGACAGGGTCAACCTGCACTGCTCAGCCGTGACGGAGTACGTCCCGTCCAGCACGTGACAGGGTCAGCCTCATCTGCGCAGCCGTGTCGGAGTACGTCCCGTCCGGCACGTGACAGGGTCAACCTCATCTGCGCAGCCGTGTCGGAGTACGTACCGTCCGGCACGTGACAGGGTCAACCTGCACTGCTCAGCCGTGACGGAGTACGTCCCGTCCAGCACGTGACAGGGTCAGCCTCATCTGCGCAGCCGTGTCGGAGTACGTCCCGTCCGGCACGTGACAGGGTCAGCCTCATCTGCGCAGCCGTGTCGGAGTACGTCCCGTCCGCACGTGACAGGGCCAGCCTCATCTGCGCAGCCGTGTCGGAGTACGTACCGTCCGGCATGTGACAGGGTCAACCTGCACTGCTCAGCCATGTCGGAGTATGTCCTGTCCGGCAGGTGACGCCCTCGCAGTCCTGTCTGGCAGGGCCGGAGCGCAAATTATCGGATAGACTGGATCGGCACACGCTGGGTCGTGGGATCGGCGTGTGCGCTACAAGCTCCGCTTAGCAAGTGCTATGACCACAAAACCAGCCATGCAAAGCATTTGACAGTTTATTTGTTCCAATCAGGGAGCGTTGGAACAGGGGTGGGGATGGTTCCCAAGAAGCTGGAAAAAAGCGGAGCTTCAGAAGTCGGGGAAGCAGTACCACAAAATGCCGCATTGTAATGCAAAAGAGCGAAGTCTTAATGCGACCCTGTAGCTAGAGCCTGCGTACTATCCTGTCTCCAAAAAAACAATCATTTTTTTCAGGTCCACGACAATGCCTTTTCGCTTTGCCATTTATATACGTTATGAACCCGCTTCTTTGAAAGGCCGTCGACAACTATTTCAGTCCCTCAATACGTACAGGGCATTGTAACTTTAAGCAGAACTGCTGCCATCGAATGCATGGGCCGGCATGCACGATGACACGGGGCACCGCTTCGCAGGGTACATGGATCAGCTTAAATTCGTTTTGCGTGAAGATTCCAGGGCTGCGATATTATTCAAGGTGCTGCTCAGCTTCCTGCCCTTAATAATCACGGACATTCCCCACGGCATCTGAAACCCTATTGTACAGAAATGCAAAACACTACTAGTTCGGTTCGGCATGACTCTCTGAGGTCACAAATGATGCAGTCACAGAAGTACGCATAACACTAGACTGTGGGGTCGGTGGTCGCGTATTTTAGACATCTCATCACGACGCGATGAGATATCTAAAAAATGTGAAAAACGCGTCGTGTTGTGAGCATATTTAAGTCCTTAGTCATTAAGGAACCACCGGAAAACCTGCGTATACTTTAGGCCTTATGTTATCTTATTACTGACCTGTATTGACACACATTATGGACAAGGCCTGCTTTGTTCTGCTTCGTCTTCGGCCGGATCAAATCGCTGGCGTTGGGTATGTGGGTACGCTTCCATTTGTTCCCAAGATGCGTCTAGTCGCATGTAGTGTTCCGTCAAACGTAATTCGTGCATAGGCCTTTTCTCAAATCATTTGATTGAGCTGCATATGCCGCTTACTGTCATAAGCTCCCACGTGTACGGCCAACTACAGAAATGTCTGCTTTCCTTTTAGACTCCTGATACTCTCCCCACTCAGTGTGATTGTTTTGCCTGTCAAGAGGCTTCACCAAGTTGTGGTTGATTGCGCCTGATCCGCCCGGTCGGGCCCCGCCTCTCTGCAGCCGCTCCAGCCGCTCTCCCGCCGCTCCCTCGCCAGTCCCCCGTCGCTCTCTCGTCGCTCCCCCGCCGCTCTCCCGTCGCTCCGGCCATTCCCCGCCGCTCCCCCGCCGCTCCCCTGCCGCTCCCCCGCCGCTCCCCGCCGCTCTCCCGCCGCGGTCCAACGGGCGCACAAGTTGTCTACTCGGCAGGCCGGCGCGTGGTTGTTATAGCTCTGCAGTCGGCCAGTTCCGTGTCAACGTACGCCCTGCAGAGCAATCCCAACCAGGCCCTGTGTTCAAAACTGCTGCAATGATGGGTGATCTATCAACGAAAAACTAGGCGCTAAAAGGCAGAGAACATGAACTGAATGATATCATTCCCAGAGATTGAGGGCTTGATCAGACTGTTCCGCCTCAGGATGGAGGATTCTTGAATCATAAATGACAAGTGCTAATCCACCGTCATGCCCGCATGTCCGAAAGCGGATTGTTATCATGTTGTTTCATTCTCAGATTATCAACAGATTAATTTATTAACAGATTATTTGACCTCGTTGCCCCTGTATCGTTGACTCAATGCCTTGCTATGCAATGTGCATTACATGGCAGTACATTACTGTGCAAAGCGCACTAAATGCTACGTGATTCGGACGCCAGGTGATTTAAAGTTTGCAGTGGTCATTTAATGTTAGTGTTGTAATAACACGACGTGAGTTATTCACAGGTGGTATATTGTGGATCTCTCTCCTTTTATTGGCTGCTATAATAATAATTGCTTAGAACATGCTCGAAGCAAAATATTTGTACATATTTGCCTGCTCAACTTTAATGGAAGACAGACATTCCATTGCATTGGCAAGATCCATTTGAGTGGGTCTCCAAAGGTGTCTGTTTCGCTTAAGTAAGGTTTTGTAGTGATTCACATCAGTGCTCTTCGAGCAATGAACACGGTGATCCAAGTTGGGCCGTCTGGTTTCTTGGCTAGGTGGTGCATAATAAGTTGGAAACAAGCCTATATGCCAATTTGACAGATGAGCGAGTGCCAACTTTGTGCATGCCAACTGGAATGCGATTATGGTGGGCTGATTGCCTCCAAGCCCTTCCACTTAATCCCACAGATATGTGATCTGTCTTACCGCACTGTATAAGGTAAACTTAGATCAGGCCGAATGTCGTGAAAACAAACGAGGAACATCGCCAACGTTAATAAAGACAATTCGACGTTCTGAGCCCATACCGCCACAAAACCTTCCCTACAAATATTGTTTACGACCAATCATTTTCCAAACATTATAATATTGGTTCGGATTAATAGCAGCAAGAGCAATTCACAAAAAACAGCAAATTGACAAAAAGTTGAGTGAGTTTTCCAAACATTCGCGCACAGCGCGTGTTTTTTGGCTGATTGCCACGCAACCTCTACTTTGAAGCAACGTGGTCAGCAGCGCTTGACCTACGAGAACAAAGCTCATCATACTTCAAAGGCTATTCCCGAACCCCGAAATGGAAAAAGTGTTTCCATCAAAGCATGCATTTCCAGTTTGCATTGCATCTATGTCGATGTGCCCCGCAGTTTCGACAGCCCGGATCTGTGCCCCGCAGTTTCGACAGCCCAGATCTGTGCCCCGCATTTTCGGCAGCCCAGATCTGTGCCCCGCAGTTTCGACAGCCCGGATCTGTGCCCAGCACTTTCGACAGCCCCCTCAATATTGATTTGGCCCCTTCAATCCCGGTCCCTTCCAGCACTGGAAAATTACAAAATATGGGGAGAAACCATTACACAAAGCCTATCTTCTCCGGCATTATTTAACTGGCGATCACCGCAATGCTCCTCAAATAAAGGTTTGTTTTACAAAAGACGAGATAATAAACATTTAGAATTACCTGCGACTCAAGATAAAACGGATTAAATCTGTTGCATTTAGGGGAAGAGAGGTGGTGAGGCCCATGTCCTGCTACCCCCTCGCCCTTATCATGCATAAAAGTTGACACCCCGGACATGGTGCCACAGCCAGACAAAAACTACATTATTTTCTTCTAGTGACGGCTGCATTTAACACGTGCTCGGGTGGAAGGGTCAAATTGACTCCCAAAGTTTTTTCCAGAATGGTTTCCGAACGGCGCGGTGTGGCCACGTCAAATTTTGCATAGCTGCAGACAATTTAATGTCGGATCGTTTGGCATCAAAACTTTAGATGCACTTTAAGGTCACTGACGTATTGCAGCTCAAAGTCAAGCCATGATTTCAGCGAAGTCAATTTATAGGGAATCTTTCAATCTGATGCAATAATGGAGTGTTAGACGCAGCCATACATCTCTGGGATGCTTTCTTAGGCAACAAAAATATTAAATGAGCAAATGACGTTGACTTAGGTAAAGTATAAGGTCAGACCAAGGTCAAAACTAATCCATTTATTACTGTAGGGCTTGCTGTATGGGGTAGTTTCTGGCGCTCATTTCGCATGTATTGAGAGCAGGAACCGCATTATATATCTTCCATGGACTTTTTAGAGGTCATTATAGGTCACTGACCTAAAATGACCCATGTCAACATTTTGTTTTTAGAAACATGCTGCCTAGCGTAATCTTTGTCGTCCATTCAGATGAAAAACTCAGAGCAGCCTTGTATGATTTTGGTCGCCATAACCTTAAAAAGATCAAACAAGGTCACTAACCTTAGATGAACATGGAAATTCTGCTTAGAAACAGTTATCTAGGTTCTGGAGCACTTTCGAGACCAACCTGGAATTTGACCTTGTTTGACCTTATTTCACCCGAAGGTCATAACCTAGGAACCTTAAACTTTGACCTAAGTGATTTCACGTACAGGTCAACATACCCTGTAAATTTGGTGTCTCTAGGTTTCTTAGTTCCCTCGAACTCAGATGGCCAAATTGACTCGTCTCACTCGAGCGAAGGGTATCTAGCTGGCCATCCGGGCGCGTGTTAAGTTAGACTGTCTGCCATCACAACCCGCACTTGAAATAAATGGTGGTCATCTTCAATATTCCATCAGAAAAAAACATTTCGCTTCAATCTTAGCAAAAGGAATAGTGGAATATATCACATTTGCATCCACGCAAATGTCATGCTTATAGGTGCGAAGCTGTTACACATATAAATGAGCACGTCAGAAGGACTCACCTCCAGTTTTACTTTTTTCCAATAGGGGTGCTATCACCAGCAAATAGCCGAAGTGGCTTTCGGAGGGAGAGAGCCAAATGTCAATTTGTCACTGAACTGCTATAGCAATTGGACCAAAATCCCCTCCCAAAAAACACCTTTCATTTGAATTGCAACTCCTGGCTAAAGCGAGATGGTAATGTAGCTCCTAACACCCCCTCCCTCATCATTGCATGTATATTGTCTGTAACTTCTTACTCCTCACGCCTAATTGCCTCATCGTTGCCTAAATCCTTGGCTGTCATATCAGTTTCCAGCTGGCAAGATTGAAATTGGGAAAAGGTTTAACTGGGAAAAATTGTCATTCAAATGCTAACAAAACATTCATGAAAAGATTGCATTTTAAGGAGAGGGAAATTTTCGAGGAAAAGTGGAAGGGCCAGCAAAGAAAAATCATGCAGTCTTTCCCCAAAGTACACGTGCCTGTCTCATCAGATTTTGCACACTTCTTCGCAAATTGGGCGGGGTACGGAGGCTGGAGGCCTGAACTGAACAGGAGCTAGGTAATACCC